CATAATATTATGATAACCTTATAACTGGTATATCATGTGCTATTTCACATGTTTTTTTTTATATATACGACTTCAATTTAGTGTATTAATTAACATATATTTGTTTCATAATGTAAACTTTTTTTATATGTTTGTGAAACAAAAAATATAATTAAAAATTTTCACATTGTGAACCGAATACATATAAAACAGATATATTATAAAACAAAACATGTTAATCAATATATTAAATTTTATCCTTAAATAAAAAAAAGTTTCAACCATCTTTTTGTTATGTTTTAATTAATAAATCAAAGAGCATCTTAAAAACACAAAATTTTGCAACTAAAAACAAACACGGTAGATAAATTGATGGATTTGGATTATATTGGCATGTGATATGAAGTAGAGGGGGGTAAAATGTAAATATGGAAAGAGCATAGTGTCGGTTGGTCAAAGTGTCAGGATGAAAATGAAAAGAATGAAAAAGAGGATGGGTGAAAATGGTAAATAAATGGTGGTAGGGAATATTGTCGGCGTCAGTCTAGTAGTAGTATCAAATTTCATGTTTTACAGTTCTTTTGAGGATACAACCTCGTGTCGTTTGTCCGTTTGCCACGTATACCTCTTTCCCAAACGACAAATATGTTTACTTTTTTATATTTTTTTTTAAATCTAAGGGTTTATTTTTTAAAAAAAATTACATTTTAATGTCTCTAAAGTATGATTTGATCAGACATTTGGGTATTAAGAACGTTTTTTTAATAAGAGCTTAAAAGCTCTAAATACCTATCCGTGCTCTGTCAGATGATTCATATTTTGAGGGCTGGAAGAAATTTATTAGAAAAAACTATTTATCTTTTATACTTTTGCACTAGTTTAACCGATTCAGATTTCAGACTTCGGACGTAAAAACAAACATTTTTATTGATCCAGATTTCAGACTTCAACACCACTTCCTATAGATTAGAATTGAAACCAGACTTCAGACTTCAACACTTCTTAAAAGACAAACACAACTGTCTTCTTTATTAGTTATGAAAATATTCATCTCCATTTTTTTCACTCTCTCTTCCAAACTTATGATGATGATAATAAGAATTGTTCTTCAATAATTCAATGAGAAAAACGTTCCACAAATAAAATGATAAAAAATAAAAGTAAAAGAATATTTTCAAGTCAACTAGCTTCATTCTTTACGGGGGCTTATTAGGAGCTTATTTCCCTTAGGCTATGTTTATTAGCAACTTAATATTTTTTTTAGGTTATGTTTATTAGCAACTTAATGAGCTTATTAGGAGTTACAACTTATTCGATCAACTTGGTAGTAGTTTAATCATATAGAAACTGACTCATTCAGTAAGCTTTTATGATTAACTTTATGTAAAAAGCCTAGTTTTTCCAAACCTGTCATTCATAATATAAAAATACGATCATTCTATCTATGAAAAACCATTAAAAAAAACTTTTGAATCTACACAGACAGATTAATCTATATAAACAATTTTATCCATACAAGACTTAATGAAAAACCAACCAAACAACCTCTTACTCTCTATACCATCTATTGTAAAAAAATCTAATAACACGTAGCTTGATAAGAGCTTGATGATTGGTTGATATGAATATATAAGGGTTGGATTACCTTATGTTCAACTTGTTAGGCCAATCTTTGTGGGGGTTGAGGTGGGGAGTTGCTTTGTACAGTAATTACATTTTTTTAATCTTCATTTCATTTAAACACATAAAAACATTATATATAATATAAAGGTGTGTTTGGTATATTGGACATAACAAAACAGAATATAACAGAGATTCATGTTTAATGTTTTAACTAGGGGTGTGAAAAACCTTAATTATCCGAAATATGAACCCAAACCTGAACCCTAAAATAAGGTATTTATGTAAAATCCGAAATAGGCCGGTCTTTTTTTTAATGTTTTTCAATCCATGCCCTCTACGACAAATGCACCATAGCAAAACAATAAATATCAAGTAACAATATTCACGTACACTTTTTCTTTTATTAAGTTTTGATATTTGCAAAATGGTTTTCATATTTTATTTTAATTCATTGTCTAGTTACAATTTCATTAATTTAAAATTATATTAACTTTTAAATTTTGATAGTGATATATTTAGACAACATTAAAAATATATTAAATGCCAAATTGCATGAAAAAAATAACGTATTTTATTTTGATTTATATTTTAGGTAACGTACTTTCAAAACTTTTATTTTGATATCTAAGATGTAAAATTTTAAACATATAAGTATCTCGGATAACCGGTTCAAAACTAATTTTAGATTAAAAAAATCATGTCACTAATCACGTCAGCAGATAATATTAAGTTGGATACTATATCACTTGCCACATCAGCATGATAACCGGTTAATGCTTCAACCGTTTACCTGAGTACTTAAATGTTTAAAACTTTACATCTTATGTATTAAAATGAAAGTGACGTTACTTTTTCATGCAATTTGTCATATATTAAATTATAATATTATTAGAGGATCAATAAATATAAAGGATGAAGGGGTATTTTGAAAGAAAAAAAAAGAGGCATATTTTTCAATAATTAAACCTTAAATAGTACTTTTGGCATATGACACTACATTAAGTAGAGAAACTCAAAATTCCCTTTAATAACCACTTGATATTTAATTTTTGTGCTTACATGAACAAACAAACAATTAGTTTTGTGTTCATGTGTTGTTTATGTATATTTTTTATTATTATTAATAATACTTGATACATTTTGTTTTGTATATCAAAGTTTTATAGATTCTTTTATTTTTAAATAATTTTTTTTCCTGAAAAACAGTATTTCGATTTGTAAACCAGTCTTGTAATGATTCCCGAAAATTATAACTTTAAAATGACGAAATGTAACAAAATTTCTCTTGTTTCTATTTTGTAACGATAAATCTCATTTTTCAACCACAAGAGTGATGTCTGATTGGTTTGATCTCAGGCTCCAAATGTCAAAAGGGCATGGAGGTTCCAGGTTCAAATTGAAGGAGAAAATAAAAATCCTCTTCTGACCACATAGGTTTAAATGCGGTGACTCTGGATACTAGCAAAGCAGCTGGTCGTTATAGGATTAGTCAGTTTGCTTAGCGGGTTGATAAAAAAATCTCATTTTTCTATTAATGTAATGAACTTCCAAATGTTTCTATTTTGATCACATTTCAACCAGAGTATGTTAATTAACGTCTGATTAACATAGACTTTAACAACGTATTTTGGTTAATGATCGAATATATGAAATAATTGTCTATAAATAGAAATGTTTTCAATCTCGAATGTGTTTCGGGATGGTGACGAACATTGTCCAATAAATAAAAGCATTATGCCGAAATGTTTTTACAATAAATATAGAAAACATTATAAAGTAACTTGTTACTTAGTTGTATTGTATAATTGTTATAAGTTTTAATTTCTTGGAGATACTGATTTTAAAAACTTTTTAACACTGTTGTTGTTCTGGTTGACGAAATTAGTTAAAATGATAAACAACATATGTAGAAATTATAACTAAATGCATCGGAAACAACTTTTGACTCTTATATTAGTTTTAGATATATCATAAATGTATAATATTATATTAACATCAATATATGGGACTAATAACAACATGTACATAGGCATATAATCATCTACGAACTTAAAATACCAGTTTTCATATGTTGTTTCACATATGAAACAATATGTGTGAAAATCCAGACTTTGTACAGCTTGATTCACACGTGTTTTTTTATATATGAAATGTTTTTTATGTGAACAAAATAGCGTCGACGTTTCATATATGAAACAACATTGTATAAACGCTGAATCTTTAAACTCATGAAAATTGTTTTATAAATATATATGAATTATTAGGTTTACAAAAGAATAGGATTTATGCATGTTCATCGGTTGACATCCATTGGATGTGAGGCCAGGGGAATCGAATCGATCCAATCATCCCTTGGATGTTGGATTTTGCCAACCGATCCGATCCGATTAACATTGGATAACCGATCCAATCCAATCAAATGGAAGATTGGATTTGTTCGGTTCCATCCATTGGATATCCATCGGATATCCAATGGACAATCTGATGGATTGGATCCATCTAATGTGTTAATTCAATCCAATTATCTAACAATGGTATAAATTAATTAATCACTTTTAATATGTAAGATTGGATTGGTTCGATTCCATCAATTGGATACTTTTATTGGATATCCAATGGATGGTTCGATGGGATTAGATCCATCCAATGTGTTAATTAAATCCAATTATCTAACAATGATACAAATTAATTAATCACTTTTAATATGTGTTAAAACCAACACAAGAGAAGTTAAAAATTCAAAGTCTCATATAAAACAAATTCTTATTTAAGTAATTTGAAAATAAATTAATTGGATAATAGTTGGATGGACAATTGGATAGTCATTGGATGATTAATTCATTAGATGGATAATTGGATGTTGACTGGTTTGGTTCGATTTTGGTCGGTTCTAGATTGTCATTTGTGAACCGACCGATCCAAATTGGATGTTGAAACTTTCAATCGATCCGAACAAACTATGGTCAGTCAGCCTTAATAGGATTTAATGTTGTATACAGTGTATGGATGGATATGTATATAAATGTAAACAACCCATATTCACAAAAAGAAAGCCCTTACTTCTCACCCAAACTAGGATCCTTCCAAGTAACTACATGGTCTCTTTTCTCAACCTTCATAATTACAAAATCCCTTCTTTCATTTTCTCAAATATTTATCTATTTCTTATTAAAAAATTGCTTAAATAAAAAAAACTTAGTTCAAAAAAACATCATTTATTACAACCTGCCCATTTCTAAAGCCTTGACACCTTCCTTTTCATCTCCTCCATATATATCAACCCTTTACTCCACTTTCTTCCCCACCCTCTCTCTCTCTCTCTCTCTCTCTCTAAAATTGGTTTATCAGGAATTTAGACTGATAAACCAGACCAACATTGCCATTTCAGTTGATTTCCAATGGAGGATTTCATGAAACTCTATTCAATGGCAACTACTCTGTTTCTGCTTATAGGGCTTGTACCTTTGGCTTTAGCAGGTGGACATAACTATGGCCAAGCTCTCAGCAAAAGCATTCTCTTCTTTGAAGCTCAAAGATCTGGTTATCTCCCTGGTAGCCAAAGAGTCAAATGGAGAGGGAATTCTGGTCTTTTTGATGGCAAAGCAAATGGGGTAATTTAATTTCAATTGTTTTTACAAAAAACCATGATTTGGGTATTTCTTTAAACTCAATTTAAGATGAAACCCACAAGTTTTCTTGAAAAAAAAAGGTTGAAATCTTGATGGTGAATTTTTGGTTTGAAGGTGAATCTTGTAGGTGGGTACTATGATGCAGGGGATAATGTGAAGTTTGGGTTGCCAATGGCGTTTACAGTGACAATGATGTCTTGGAGCATAATAGAATATGGGAAGCAAATGGCTTCAAGTGGTGAACTTGGTCATGCCATGGATGCTATCAAATGGGGCACTGATTACCTCATTAAAGCTCACCCTCAACCCCATGTTCTTTATGGAGAGGTACAATTCTTGATTTTTATATATATATATATATATAGGATTAATGGTGGGACCCACTAACTAGTTTTGGTCTCTAAATTGTGCTTTTAAGATGTGATTTGGTTTTTGGGGGTGAGAATTGTTCAAAATGCATGTCTTCTAAACAGGATTTGGAGGATGTTGATTGATTGCTGTGGATTGTTACAGGTTGGAGATGGTAATACTGACCACTATTGTTGGCAAAGGCCTGAGGATATGACCACTTCAAGAAATGCTTATAGAATTGACCAAAATAACCCTGGTTCGGACCTCGCAGGAGAAACCGCTGCTGCCATGGCCGCCGCCTCCATCGTCTTCCGCCGCTACAACCCTGCTTACTCCAGAGAGCTCCTCACCCATGCCTACCAGGTCAGTGAAACGACTCACAATAACACAGACGTAACTAAAAATCACTTAAACCATGGTGCAATTGAAGTAGATACATAGGCAGGGTGCACGCTAGCAAAGATAGGCGTATGTTAGCAAAGCAATTGAAATAGATACGTAGGCAGGGTGCACGCTAGCAAAGATGGATGTATGCTAGCAAAGTGGTTGAAGTAACAAGACAGTTGGGTCACTGGTGTGGCTTAAAATTGATTTGTGGTCACTGTGATGCACGTTAGTAAAAACAGGGTGTTTTTTTTCTTAGAATGTAGCGAAGATAAATCTTGATTTTGATGTTTAATTTTTATTTTTTTATCTCTATTGATATAATCTATACTATTTTATAAAATAAATTTAGTAAAAGTCTTAAAGTCTTAAAATTTTAAATGATCAAAATATCATTTATATTCACTTTTTCACTTTTTCACCACCTCCTCTCCTCACATACACTCACACTCTCATAACCGATTTTTTTAAAATTATAATTTTAAATTTACACTTTATACCCCTATAATTAATTAATTAATTTACTTTACGTCCTTTACTTTTAAATGTTTCATTTAAACATTTATCAAATTAACATAAATAATCATATATCAATTAAAACATGTTTAAAAAATACATCTTTATTTTAACAAGTTACACCATTATAATCGTCTCGTTAATATCTTCGAAATGAGTCCAATATTAAATAGTTTTTGACTTAATTATATTATTATATATTATATATATTGTGACAAAATATTTTTAATATTTACGATTTATACTTTTATAGTTATTTATTTATATATATACTACATATTTTGGGATTAGGCTGTCCAAATTGCACTGTATAATATGTTTTGAATTAATATGTTCTTGGGTTTTTTGAAATATATATATGTATTAATTCAACCTTAATATGAGTTTCTGGACAAGAAAGATGGTAAGCAGTTGAAATTTCATTCTAAACCCCATCTTTTTTGTCTTTTCATAGCTTATGATCTGTCAAATTTGTAGTTTTCTTTATTGGTTTTGAGTGTTTATCTTAAAACTCAAGTTTCTTGGTTCTTTGCTCTTGATGTAAAACGAATACATTTGTGGAGTCGTTTAAATATGTTGGATTTTTAATATATTGGATTTTAATCCGTCATACAATTTTTTGCATCGATAGTCTGTAATTGGAACCATAACTCTTATTTATTCAAATTGTATTAATATGTAAAGACTAAGTGTAACCTATATCATCGTTAAATCTTATCTTATAAAACCAGTGGAACTTCAAAATCGTTAAAATTCATGGCTCCCCCCGCATTGCGTGGGTACACAACTAGTACGATTTTATGTGGTTTTGAGAAAACGATAATGTTTTTATTTTTGAATGAAATATAAATTTAAAGATAACATAAAAAATTAAAGTAAATAAATCGATATTGGTATCAAATTAACTATTTAATAGTTCTCATTTTTGGTGTAACTTTTTTAATTTAATTTTTTATTATAATTTAATTTATATTTAATAACAAAGTAATTTATTTTCGGTTTAACAATATAATTTTTTTATAAAGATAATAATTAACTATTTTGTTAGAACCCAATGATTATTTTAATTATATTTTAGATTTTTTATATTTAAAATGAAATATTTATCCAGTATTTGATTATGTTTATTTACAGATAGTTATACGAATTCAAAAATAGAACTTTAATAAGTTGTATTTACACATTATTTACTTGTAATATTGTATTTTAAGTAATATGCATTAATACACAATACTTCATTCATAAAAAATTGTTTTAAAAGTATTTATCAAATGTTTTATAATATAGTATAGATATAAATATATTTGAATATTTTTATTATCTAAAATAACATAACCGTTAAAGTTGTTATTAGAGATTAACCATTTAAGGTTATTAATTAATGCAGTTGAAGTAAGTACTGTTAGGGTCTTTTATGGCACATTTAATAGCTAATGTGTCAGTGGGTCAACTTCTTTTTGGCAAAAATAGAATCTCATTAAGTTGGGCGTATGTTAGCAAAGCAGTTGAAGTTAGGCTTTTCACACTGTCAAGCTGGTTGTTGCCAGAGTAAGTTAGCAACAGCATTTATAATGCGCAGATACACTTCTTCACTGATTACTTTTGTGACTCCATTTTGGAAGAAGTATTATTGCGTTGTTGATTTGTCTTCTAGTAATGTACAAGTATCTATGCATGCTGTACAGATGGTATTATTTACTAGAGTAAACTACAATGAAACAATGTGCTTTCTTATAGTTTTAAAATTACAAGATGGTTGTTATAGTTTGTAAAAATATCTGGATTTGGTCTTTTTTTTAGTGGTCGTTAAAAAAATTCATCAAATGATAGATATTTTCATACAATCATTTCCGTCTTAAAATAAGAGGTTGTTTATTAGTAATTTAATAAGACTCACAACTTATTCGATCAACTATACATGATTGTTTATAGTGACTTAATGATATAAAAATGACTTATTCAATCAGTTTCGAGGACTGAACTTTATGCAGAAAACCAAGTTTTTTTCAAACATGTCATCCCAATATATCTATAAATTAGGACGGAGATTTCATAATTAAAATCAAATAATTATTCAAGTTAATATAGGAATAATTATGTAATTTAATAATCAGTTTTTTTTATAAAATTAATCTGATAATTTTGTCCGTAAATAAATATCTCAGAATTATTTTAAACACCATAGGTTAAGTATGTCTTGCTTGTAATTTTGATATAAAAGGAAATGTTGGCGCACATGTTGGATCACGGAAGTTAGGATGTTCATCACGAATAATGTGTGTACTCACCGTAGAGATTTGCTGGGATCACAGATCTCACCCGTCTGATCAAATCTAGTAGATTCAATAAGCAAAACGTTAGCCACGTGGTACCATAGGCTGTGGGTGGATACACGACGCACCTACTCGTATTATATCACTCTTTTACGTTACATTCCGATTTTGCCCCTACAGCGTTTCACTAATTTCATCTATTTATCTTTTCAGCTCTTCGATTTTGCGGACAAATACAGGGGCAAATATGACAGTAGCATCACTGTGGCCCAGAAGTACTACCGATCTGTCAGTGGATACGCGGTATGTGATCACAATCCCTTCTAACAACCAATTTTTCATCTGTTCGTGCTGATTTACAATAAGATAACATGGGATACAAACATGTTCTGATTGGTCATTGTGTAGACCAGTTTTGAACATGTTGTATCAGATATGATTTTACTTTTTAATTAAATGTAATTTGATTTTCTTTTTGCATTTTTAAAAAATTGATCGACTTCTCGTATGGTTCTCTATTTTTATCCTTATATTTAATAATTTTGTTTTTGTAGGATGAATTACTGTGGGGAGCTGCTTGGTTGTACAAGGCAACAAACAATCAGTACTACTTGAACTACCTCGCTAGAAACGGTGATGCCCTCGGTGGGACCGGTTGGGCCATGACCGAGTTCGGTTGGGATGTTAAGTATGCTGGTGTTCAAACACTTGTTGCAAAGGTCAAATATCTCTCGAATGTTTATATAGTATAATCACCGGACCAAAAGATTGTCGAGATGTACAAAAGGCCCGAAGCTCGATCCAAAAAGCCCAATTAGGCGTAGTTTTTTTTCAAAAGCTCAATCGAGCCTATTTTCATACCTAAGGCCCGACCTCCAAAAAAAAACCTATACTCTTTCTTTTGCTTACTAAAAACGGGCTTAAAAGTTCTGGACCAAAGCCCAAAAAAGCCCGAGATTTGTGCATCCCTAGTTAATTATGTAGTGTTGTATCTAAAGTTTTTGTATTGTGGTTGACGTTATGCAGTTTCTAATGGGCGGAAAAGCCCGTGGACACGGCCGGGTGTTCGGAAAGTACCAAGAAAAGGCCGAGTTTTTCATGTGTTCATGCCTTGGCAAGGGTAGTCACAATGTTCAAAAGACTCCTGGAGGCCTCATTTTCCGGCAACGATGGAACAATTTGCAGTTTGTCACAAGTGCATCTTTCCTCCTAACCGTCTATGCCGATTACTTGACTTCCGCCCGGAGAAACTTACATTGTTCTTCCGGCACCGTCACCCCACCCAAGCTTCTAGCATTTGCCAAATCTCAGGTAATTAAACACAAAGTGTACATTTTGAGTTCCTAGAGTCACTGTAGCTATCTTAAACTATTCTAGATTCGAGAAACATGTTCAAATGACGATTTTACCCGAAAACACGAAATGCCCATGATCTGAACATGGCTAAATAAGGGAACACTACAACAAATTAGCTTTATAAGATGCCTCGATTGTCTATGTGTTCTAATATAATGCTTTATAGAACTTCGATTTATATGACCAAACTGTAAAGTGTCATATCTAAAGCGTTACAATAGGTTTATAGGATACTTTTAGGCGTTTTAACAAGTTTTTTTATGACACTTTCAAAAGTGTCCTATTAGCTATTTTATAGGACACTTTGAGAAGTGTCTTATATACCCCGTCCTCTTATAGGTTTATAGGACACTTTTTCAATAGCGTCGTTTAAAATAGTTAATACGACATTTTATTTTAGAAGCGCTCTAAAAACTTGTTAAAACGATTAAAACATCTTATAAACCTATTGTAACAGTTTTCAGATGTGACGCTTTTTGGTTTGGTCTTATAATGTAATTTTTTAGGTTGCTTCTATATTTTCTTTATTAACCTGTATATCTAACCCGCTATGCGAGGCAACTAATCCTAAGGTGACCACCCACTTCGCGGGTAGTCCAAAGCATCGGATTTGAAACTCCATGGTCATAAGGGGATTTTTATTCCTCATTGGATTCGAACATGAGACTTTCAGGCACTTTTGAGTTTTGACCTTTGGATCCCAAGTTCAAATCAATCGGGCACCATCCTTGTGGTTGCTTCTACATTTTAGGCATCCTATAAAATCAATTTTGTCGTAGTGGAAGTAATCAAAACCTAACATTTTGGCCCGGTTTCGGGTGTTTTTGTAGGTGGATTATATTCTTGGAGACAACCCAAGAGCAACAAGTTATATGGTTGGATATGGGAACAACTACCCTCAACAAGTGCACCATAGAGGTTCATCGATTGTATCGATTAAGGTTAACCCTTCATTCGTTAGCTGCCGAGGTGGTTATGCTACATGGTATAGCCGAAAAGCACGTGACCCGAATCTCCTAACGGGGGCGATTGTTGGTGGGCCCGATGCGTATGACAATTTCGCTGACGAAAGAGGGAATTTTCAGCAAACCGAGCCTGCTACATATAACAATGCCCCTCTTCTTGGAGTCTTGGCTAGACTACATGCTGGCCATGGTGGTTACAACCAGCTTCTTCCAGGTAACATACTAACATTAGTAATTTAATTCCCATTTGAATCAGCATTCACTGCAACAAAATCAGTTTTATTTGATGCTAAAATGTCTAAATGTCCTAATAGACTGTTTTATAAATTATAACTCTCCGTCCCAAAATGAATGTCCACGATGAAAAAGTTATGTAGTTTTAGGAATGTGGAATTATTGCATTTTTTTAGTTAACTAAATGACAGTTTTACCTTTAATAATAGAGAGATAAATTTTCTCTATTTTATAATCAAAGGTAAAATGGAAAATTGGACACTAACTTTTGAAAATAGACATTTATTTGGGACAAACTAAAATAGAAATGTGAACACTTATTTTGGGAACACTAAAGTCATATAAAAAGACTAATAGAACGTTTTATTTAAAAAATGTTCTAAAAAACTTGTTAGGATACCCAAAAGCGTCTTGATAACTAATTGTAACACATATACATAGAACGGATAATTGTTTGGTCCTATAAATCAGTCTATTACGACATTTAGACATTTTTTATGTCTTGTAAAACCTATTTTATTGATTTTCGTAGTGTTTTCTTTAATTTTTCAACCTCTTTTTTGCAGTTGAAATTCCTTTTCGTAAGCCCACTGCTGCTCAAATAAAGCCCACTCCAGAAGCTAAAGTAACCCCATCTGCAGGTAAATCTTGATAACAACCTTGAAATTTTTTGAACCGGTAAGTGCTAACCGTGGTAGGAGTCATCGTTGTCCCTTACAGGGTAAGACTCTCAGTCCTTGCCTTAGCTCTTACCGGGTAAGATTCTTGGTCCTTACAATGTTGATTCAGTAAGATAATGCGACTTGGTAAGCGCTTACCCGGATAAGCGTTTGGTAAACGGCCCGACTTATTAGATCTTTCAAATGGGTATTTAGAATTTGCATAGACTGCAAATGAAATCTGACTCAAAATCCCATATTTAGGTTTGATTGCAATTGCACAGAAGACTTCAAGTTCATGGGTAGCCAATGGAAAAACCTACTACAGATACTCGGTTACAGTAAATAACAAATCAAACAAGACCATCAAGAACCTTAACCTTTCGGTAACAAAGCTCTACGGTCCGTTATGGGGTCTAACAAAGCAAGCCGGCGGTTCCTACGGGTTTCCGGCATGGGTTAGCTCTCTACCCGCCGGAAAAAGCATAGAGTTTGTTTACATTCATACCAATTCTCCGGCGAAGGTCTCTGTTATGAGCTACAAATTGGTCTGAATCCGGCCAACGATCGAAACAGACCAAAAGATGTATCTAATGGAAGGTACATGAGTTTTTAGGGGTTAAAACTGAGGTCTGAAGAATGAGTGAAGAGACAGTTAAGAACAAGTGCTCATCCTCTTTCTCCTCCTCCTTGATCATATACTTCTCACCACAAGATTAATTAATCCTTTTGTTTTTATATATCTTTTCCTTTTTTCTACTTCAAATTAGCTTTGAAGTGTTGTTATCTGTTCCTGTTTGTGTGTAAATTTGGCAACTTTTTCTTATCTTGCAATATGAATATAGATTTTGCAACTTTTGTATGTTGTTTTTGCTTTGTTAACCCAATGATTTATGAATTTGAAATGCCCGTTTACCCCAAGACTTACCTTACCTGGTAAACGCTCACCGATAAGATTCAACATTATTACTTAACTTACTGGGTAAAATTTATCTGGTAAGCGCTAATCGGGTAAGAGTCGTCACCTTCATTTGCCGGGAAGACTCTTACTGGATAAGAATCTGGAGGTTGAGGTTGTGTTGTTTGTGGGTAAATTGTTAGGGTGCAGGAGCTCTTCATTTCATCCCACATTGGTGTAGGAATGAAACCTAAAGCCACAACGAAGGTTATTTAAGAGACGTGTTGTACAACTTAAAACATACTTACCTGGACGAGATCAATGGGTGATCATTAAGGCCTATGGTCTAGGTTGGTGACCTCCATTGCACTTAGGAGGGGTGCCTGCCTAAGGTCGACCCAAGTGGTTGAGCCTACGTCATAATTTGTGACAGCGGGGGCCTGCGTTCGCGCGGCCTCTACCCAATTTCTTAGTCTAAGTCTAGTTGTGTTGTCTTCTATAACATGTTCTTGATGAAAAATATGTAAAATAAATGTCCCATTCATTCGAATTGGGTCTAGAAATTTAAAGTATTATTAGAAGGATACTTGTATAATACAACGAGATATATTTCAATTTTAATATTTTGTTTTATTATTTGTAATTGTCTATAATATGGTTTTATATGGTTTTTAAAAAAACATCAATTTTTTATTTTTGAATAAAATATATTTTTGTAGATATCATAAAAAAATTATTAGTATCAAAATTAACTATTTAAAAATTCTCGTTTTGTTTGTAATTTCTTTAATATTAATTTAGGTTAATGAAGTAATTAATTCTTGGTTTAATAATACAATCTTTTATAACGATAATAATCTAGTATTATGGTATAACTCAATTAATATTATCATTTTTAATTATATTTTAGATTTTTTATATCTAAAATGAGATATTTATCATATATTTAATTATGTTTATCTGTAGTTAGTTACACGAATTCCAATACGAAACTGCAATAAGTTGTCAATTACTTATAATATTAAATTTTAAGTAATATGAATCATTTAACAGTGTTCTATGCATAAAAAATGATTTTTTAAGAGTTTTTATCAAATGTTCTATAATATAATACAGATAAAATGTTTCTGATGGAAAAAGATGTGGATGAAAGATCCCAGTCATCTCATTTAATCGAACCGAGTCTAGAAATCTAAGAAATAGTGAAAATTCTACATGTTTGTTTATTTTCCATATATAAATGTTTAGGGTGCAGAAGCTCTCCATTTCATCCCACATTGGTATTAGAATGAAACCTGAAGCCACATCAAAGGTTATTTAAGAAAAGTGTTGAACAACTTATTACATACTTACCTGGACGGGATCAATGGGTGATCAATAAGGCTCATGGTCTAGGTTGGTGACCTCCATTGCACTTTGGAGGGGTGCCCGTCTAAGGTCGGCCCAAGTGGTCGAGCCTACGTCATAATTTGTGGCAGCGGAGGCCTGCGTTCGCGCGGCCTCTATCCATTGTCAAAGTCTAAATTATTTCTTGTATTTAATAATCTATTTCATTTGGTATTTTATAATGCATTAGTTTTTTTATTGTTTGGCATCATTGGATACAAAAACAAAAAAATTGGAACTTTAAAATGCATTATTTAACAAATAAATACAATTCCCATATAAGTTAAAACTACAAGTAGGTGTATTGTTAGGATGTATAAGCTCACCATTTCATTCCATATTGGTGTCATAATGAAACATTAGGCCAAAGCAAAGGTATTTAAGAAGAGTGTGTTACAATTTCATACTTAATTACCTATGGTTTAGGCTGGGGAACTCCATTGTACTTTAGAGGGGTGCTTGTCTAAGGCCAGTTCAAGTGGTCGAGCCTACGTCATAATTAGTGACAGTGGAGGCTTCCATTCGTGCGGCTTCTACCCAATTTCAAAGTCTTTCATTTTTCTTATGTACAATAATTTGTATATAAAATGGATAAACAAGAGACATCCAAAGATAAAAATATGTATCAAAAACTGTATAACTACCAAAAAAAATCCTTGTGTCTGTGAGTATTCTTGAACTCTAAGTAGACATTTGGTTTGATAGAATGTTTTTTGGGGAGCATTTAGTTTGATAGAATGTTTTTGTGGGTTTTATGAGGCATTTGGTTCTAACAAAATCTAAGGACATTTGGTTTACATATGAATAGAATTGGATCCCATACATTCATGAATTTGGTCGTTCCATTCTCCTCTCAACCTAAACCACAGTTTGCAACCCTTTCATGACCTGCAACAACCTTCTCGCAAACTGCTCTCTTCTCACTGAGATACCCTCATCTCAATATTGTTGTCTTCGTGTTCCTCATCTGCAACACCCAAACACTAAAAATTATTTTTGGGGCTGTTTACAAAACACTCACCCGGGTAAATGCTTACAGGCAAAATTCAACACTATCATTTAATTATAAGGTAATATTTTAGTCCACCAAAATGGTATCGTATATCACAAATTATCCGGTAAGCACTAACCATGGTAAAAGTCATCGCACTCACTTACTGGGTAAGACTTTCATTCCTTGTCTTCGCTTTTTACTAGATAAGATTCTTAATCTTTGCTATATTCATCCGACAAAATAATATGACTTGATAAGTTTTTTTATTTTTTACCAAATAAGTGTTTGGAAAACAACCCTCCCTCCTTCTTCCTCATATTTGTTTTCTTTGACTTGCAAACCCAAACCCAAACCCAAAAAACTCTGAATGTGGTAGAAAGAATTAGATATAAAGCCCTTTTGGACTTTTTTTTAGAGAGAGAGAAGGGGTGGACATAATAAAAGAACTTGCTGTTTTAGAAATAACTTTATAATAACTTGATATTTTAATATATTTATAACTTAAAAATAAATTACAAAAAATATAATAAAAAGTCTATTTTGGTCGTTTATCGTTATATCATTCCAATTTCGAAGCTACATTTTGTCAACTAATACAGATAGATTTTAATCTTTTAATAGATTCTATTCCAATTCATGTCAACAAAATGGATGGTCAAATTTCATTCTAATTATTCCATTCCTTCAAAAAAACATTCTTTGAAACAACCGTCCCCTTAGATTTCTTGTAAGGTTGGAATTGGAAGAATTTAGAACCTTTAGTGTGTCTGATTTGTAGGATTTGAAATCCAAATAGTTTTTAAAAACAAATTATAAATAACTATTAAAATAATTAAATTAATTTTTATCACTTAATTATTACAAATTGAATGTTTTTGACGAATTCTAAATTATTATTACAAACAAATCCAATGAAATACCAACTATCTCATGATATTTCTAAATACAATGTTAATACGATTTCATTGAAATTCAAGTGATTTCAAGTCCAAATTCCGAAAACCAAAGTGGCCCTAAGAGAGTGTTTGGTTGAGACGGATAAGAAACGGAAATTCAAATGAAACGTTATCTCTTCTTGTTTGTGTGTAAATTTGGCAACCTTTTCTCATCTTTGCGATATGAATTTAGATATTGCAACAACTTTGGTATGTTTTTCTTGTTTTCATATTACAATTTGTGAAAGTTGTTTGTTTGGTTAACTGTGAGTTTCTACATCAGCTACGCACCTACTAAATCTACAAGAATGGCCTGGTTTAGATGAGATTTTTCATTACATCCCCTAAATCTTAACCAGTACGTCACAACCCAAGTTGAAATTGTTCCTATTAGAAACAAAGATTTATCTATATTTATAAAACTAGGAAAATGAAACTACCACTTGTTTAATTGGTTTATGAGTGTGAAATGAAGTGCAGAAGATGAAAATGATCCTAAAAACCTAGAAATTTAAAGCATCTGTTTGAACTCTTCAAATAGCACTGATTTATTGTGGACTTGTAGCTTACCCACATCGCAATATGTATGCAACTGTGGAGGTAGAAGCAGATGCATAAAGAAGATGCTTAACAAAGTTCTGAAATCACGCAGCCATGCAATGAACACAAAGCAAACTATTCCTTCGCCTTTTACTAAAGAATACTGTGTGTTTGTTGTATCAAGTGACAAACGCTTATTTTTGGAGAGTTGTTCATTTTTGTGAATGCCTCCTACAATTTACAGTTTCAATTATTATGGTGTTAGAAAACGTTTTTTAATTGATTCCTATCTAACCGAGCTCTGATTTTAAACTGTGTTAGACCGATTCTTATACCAATAATCAAGTCATCAGTCATCTGTTGTATTGATTAGTGGCAGTTTTTTACGTTTGGATTCTCAGCGACTAACCAGAATATGCCTAGAAAAAAGCACCTTTTGTCACTCTGATTGTGAACTTTGGGGTCGTTTAGAAAATGCTTATTGACAAAAGTTATCACTCTCATTTACCTTATCAAGCAACATTCTTAGTCATCAAAGTGGATTGTGGTAAGCATCTTTTACCTTCATACTGGGTAAGAGTCTTCTCCCTCACCCGCTAAGACTATGTCCTTCTATGCCTCTAACTAGGCAAAATTTTCGATCTTTGTCATGCTCATCGGTAAGGTAAGTGACACCCGATAATAATTTAACTAGTAGGAGTTGGGTAAACAGCCCCTTAATTGATTTCGACATATCAAACTGGCTAGGATCACTTGCTTTGGCCCTTAGTCCTTCCTTTATATCCCTCAGTAAGTGGACCATGGTAAGGGAACCTGAACGCTTACTCTTACGGCTCTTCCTAGCAGGGGCGGATGCCGTATGTCAAAACTGGTGGATGGGTCCTCATTAAATATTCTCTCTTTTATATAAGTAAAAAACATTTTTTTTTAAAACTTTCTACCCAAAAGATGCTCTAAATTTGGTAACGCACAACCTGCCCAGAACCACGATTGTGATCATCTATCGATGTGTTGGAGAAAATGGACCTTTCCTGAGGAAAGCCAAAGCAACAAAGTCATCCACATGAGCTCCTAATACCATGCATCTTTCAAAAATATAGTACAAATAGCCGAAATCCTGTAGAAATGTGGTGAACAGATTCAAACGGCAGTTAGATTGTGAATCTCTTTGCCGCCGGCATATTGGAACAACCGCTCAAGTAACGTATCCATAAAACCAATCGCATCTAGGCCACGACCTTCAATTAGAGAGTACATGGTTAGAAACAATTAYGACTTCCACAAAGTGTGGCTGATACAACAACATACCAAAAGCAACAAGTCCCAAYGAAAATCCAGCATATCCTTCCCTTTCAAGTACGTTATCACCTCCACTTCTACGACCTATCTCACCCTATAAAAGTTATGAATCTTGCTGATTGTGGAAATTTAGGAAGTGGTAAAGATGAAAATTGTAAGCAGAAGCATGTCATCATCAGCTCAACATCAATGGCCATGGCTGTCAAAAGTATTCTTGTCTCAAATCAAATTGCAAATTGAATGTTTTTGACGTTTTCTAAATTAYTGTTACAAACAAATGCAGCGAAATACCAACTATCTCATGAGATTTCTAAATACAATGTTTATACGATTTCATTTAAATTCAAGTGATTTCAAGTCCAAATTCAAACTTGCCCTAAGARACGGATGAGAAATGGGAATAAGAATGAATGTTATCTCTTCTTGTTTGTGTGTAATTTGGCAACCTTTTCTCATCTTTGCGATATGAATATAGATTTTGCAACAAATTTGGTATGTTTTTGCCGGTTTTCAAATTACAATTGTGAAAGTTGTTTGTTTGGTTAACTGTGAGTTTCTGCATCAGCTAACATGCACCTACTAATCCCACAAGAATGGCCTGGTTTCGAACCTAGAGTAGATGAGATTTTTCACTACATCCCCTAAATCTTAACMAGTACGTCACAACCCAAGTAGAAATTGTTCCTATTAGAAACAAAGATTTGTATATATTTATAAAACTAGGAAAATGAAACTACCACTTATTTAATTGGTTTGAGTATGAAATGAAGTGCAGAAGATGAAAATGACCTAAAAACTAGAAATTTAAAGTATCTTTTAAAACTCTTCAAATAGCACTTATTTATTGTGGACCTGCATCTTTCCCACATCGGAATATGAACGTAAATCTGGAGGTAGAAGCAGATGCATAAAGAAGGTCCTCAGCAAGGTTTTA